TTTGATTATATGTGAGGAAATTAGGTTTTTTTTTTTTTTTACCTTGTCAGTTTTTCAGGTTTTAATGTAATCATTTGATGAATAGATTTTTTGGTATTAATATTTTGTAATTCATAAGTTTAAGTCTACTATATTGTATAATATTGAAAACAAATAAAAACTATTTATTTTACTTTGTGATATTAGGGATTCAACCAAAGTGTCTTAATGCTGAGCATATTCTCAGCTCTGTTTTAAATTTTATTTCCAGACGGGGTTTGCTCGATTTCTTTATTTGGCCTTAAATTTTGAACTTCATGCCTTAGACTCCAGAATAGTGGATATTTCGGGTGTGCACCACCATATGAACCCTATCTTTTGTATGTAAACTTTTGATCTTTTTACTTTATTATACATTTCAGTATTATTTACTAATAACTTATATTCAGCATTTCATGTGTCAAAATATGTTGTAATGTTTGGTGAGTGAAGGGATAAAATAGCATTTTATTATCACACTCTTTTCCCACTATCCTAGATGTTTGAAGAGTTTTGTTGTTGGTGTTTACTGTAATTCCACCATTTATTTCATTATGAGGTTTACCATGATTGATTTTACTTCATAACATCAATCATGTGGCATCATGGTATTTTGGTCTGCAGTAAACTTTATGTACAACCACGGATCTAGCAAATATCTTAGCCATGTACAAGACTATACCATCTATATTCTGTCATTGTACTCAGAGAATTAGAAAATTGCAGAAGATTCTTAGGATAAATTTTCCAGAGTGTATTTCCATAAAGTGAGAAATCATTATATATGCCTATATTTGCTATTAAATACTGTATAATTGATACAATTTTTATTTGTTGAATTTCAAATTTGCTAGTGCTTTTTCAATTGTTTCTGCTTTTTTTTTTTTAATTTGTACTGAAGATTTAACCCAGGGTTGCTTAACAATAAAGCCACATACTCAGTCCTTTTTTTGTATTTTATTTAGAGACAGTGTATTGCTAGGTTGCTAAGTGCCTCAATAAGTTGCTCAATACCATATATATAAGACAATATTATATATAATATTGTCTTAGAATTTATGGTCCTTTTTTCTTATCCTCCTCAGTCACTGGAACTATAGTTGTCCATCATTAGAATGGGCTCATTTGCTTTTCAAAAGCACCAACATTGATACTGGTAACTCTGTTATGTTTATCTTTAATAGCTTCTGATTTTGCTCTTTTGATTAAGACTTTCTTTACTTTTAGTTTTTAAATTTTACTATTTATTGGGATGGATAATTTGATAATAAATTCTAGTCATTTTATGGCTTACTAATTTTTTTTGTATGTTTTATTTTCACCTCAGGTATAGATGAATTCCAATTTTTACAGCTGTATGGAGGTCTAAGTGAAACATAATAACCTGTATGGATATTGTTAAAAAAAATGAACCACAATTTTACCCAGTTTTTTAAATGCACTGTATATGCCCAAAGGACATAAAATCAGCATACTACATTGACACAGTCACAATAATGTTTATAGCAGCACAATTCACAATAGCTAAGCTGTAAAACAAACAATTCAATGATGAATTGGTCCATTCAATGATGACAGGATAAAAAACTGTTGCTTTTGTACACAATAAACTATGAATCGGCCATAAAGAAGAATGACTTTATGACATTTGCCAGGAAATGGATGCATCTGGAGATTTTATGCTAAGTAAAACAAACAATTTCTTTAAAACGAAAAGTTAAAAGTTATTGCTGATATGTAAAATCTAAAGCTCATAAAGTGGGAAGGGTAAGAAATGAAGATCAGTAGAGTGCACAATGGTAAACAAAAATTAAATAAACGAATAAATAAATAAACAAAAGGGACAAGGATAGAAATATAAAAGATATATATCTGTAAGTGAATCCTACCATCGTAGCCACCAAAAAGAACAGGATTTTAATTAGGATACGATATATCCCATGCTTGCATAATACCATAAAAATCGATTTTACTGTCAGGTAGAACTAGAAAGAACCAATAAAATTAAAAAATAATTATATTTGTTTGAAGAGCTATATGTATATTCTATTAAAATGTCATACAATATAAACATCAATCAAAGTTTGTATATATATATATATATATATATATATTAAAATTATAAAAAGCAAAATTCAAACAGGATTGTTTTTGCTATTTTTATATTAATAACATACATAAAAAACATAAAATGTTTGAACTTAAATAAACTGTTAAATATTTTCTTTAAGTGTTCTGTCTGCCTTGTTACATTTCAAAATTCCTCTTATACCATTGATGTTGGAATTACTAGAGATCTCACTACACATTCAGAATAGCCAGCTCTATTAGAAAAATAACAAATAAGATTCTACACATTAGTAAATCTCTGATTAGTGGTTATACAATTAAAATTTGAGGATTCCCTTTCTTAATTACCATGATTTTCTCATCTGAAAACTATGTATAATTTATATCAAGTATACAAAATTACAAAATATATATTTTGTGATAATGCCTGAGTTTTGTATTGTGTTTCATAAATGTGGAGTATGTATACTTTTTTAAACTTCAATCACTTTTTCTGCAGAAGTAGATAATAGTATCATTGTTTTCCAAAACACTACCTACATGATAGTCTACTAACTCCCATTTCAACTTTAATTACATTATAGACTGTGCAAATGTTCATGTGGTCAAAGTATTATTTATCTACCTATTCTTATTTTAGGAACTGTTAACATTTATGGATATAGCCATTGATTTTACTGAAGAGGAGTGGGAATGCCTTCAGCCTTCTCAGAAATATTTATATAGAGATGTGATGCTAGAGAATTATAGAAACTTTGCCTTCCTGGGTAAGTTTAATTTCCCTTTAAAATTATTAACTACTAATTATTATTTAATTTATTTTTGTTGCAGAGTATCTTCTGGGAACTTCTCTATAAGAATGAGTTTCAGATTTGTGTTTCAAAGAAAAAGGGCATTTTTAGTACAGATATTTCACTCTCTCTCTCTCTCTCTCTCTCTCTCTCTCTCTCTCTATCTCTCTATATATATATATATATATATATAAAATTATATATATATTTTTACTCTTTAATCTGTCTCTTTTTTGTGTGGTACACATCCTTCACTTTATATAAGTAGTACCTAGTATAATTTAGTGATGTAAACTATTGTAGACTACAAATAGCAGGGGACATAGTTGAGTCATTCAAATGTCAAGGAGAAAAACAAACTGAAAAATATTGAAAGAGTAGTTATCTTTCAGAAGAAATTTTCAGAAGCTTAGGTTTATTTATTTTGATTGTAATCATTGAACACATATTGCCCTATATTTGGCACATTTTCAAATTCATTGTTGTTCTCTGTTTTCCTCTTTAGTGATGTCCCATCTTATTCAGATTAACCATCAAAACTTACCTTTGGTTTGTAGGGCCAGCATGATCTCTTTCAAATCTTCTTGTGAGGACACCTTTAAAGAAGCAAACAAAAGAGAGAGACACACACACACAGTAGAAGGGAAAAAAGAAAAAATACTGGCCACCCCTCTTAACAGCTGCACATATAATACTCCAAAATTATATACCTCATGATACCATGACTACATTCTATCCCAGTGTTTCTTTAAACCCAAGTGTTAGCTAACCAAGATTAGGTATAGTTAATACAAATATAGAGCCCCTTTTCCCTAAGGACATTACCACAGAAACTAGATAGTGCACCTGTAGAGTTGTCTTAATAGCTTCAGGGAGAAACTGCTGGGCATTACAATTTTGGAACTTGGGGTGCCAGTTACCATCACTCCCACACTTTCCTGTCTATTCCAAGGTCAGAATACCTAATACCTCCCCTCTTTTAAAAGGCCTATTGAATAAATAATATTACTTATCTTCTTAATTCTGGTGGGGGCAAAAAATAGGGCAGGCATAGACAACAGCAAGTTCCAACATCAGTAAACATCCACCTATGAATATTTTTGACCCAGATGAAATTGAGTAAACATGAAGTTATCCAATCTAACAAGTCCAAAATCCATCATCTTGTTGAACCTTATTAATGATATCTTTAAGGTAATCTAAGTCTTTTGAAATAAAATTACAATTATAACTTAAACTAAAGGAACACATGTGTTAAACTTCTGATATGCTTTATGATGTAACAATAACAGACAATCAATTGCAGCATAATTGTCAAGTATGGCTTGACAATGTTGTTTTTGTTCTTCATTAAACATATTTATATCCATGGAGGCATGACTAATACTGTTTATGATAGCATAGGCGAGTTTCATAGAAGTTTTATAAGCCTTTAAAGCTAGTCTAGGTAAACCCACTAAGGAGAATGTGAAAGCATTAAATTCTGCCTTAGAGAGAAACTTCATTGAATCATCACAGTTTTTATCAAGAGGAATAGACCTTTTATGAATAAGTTGCACAGGGTGGTGACCTATTAAATACTATGTGGATGGTAAGGACACATTATTCTGCTAAGAAAACAATAAATACCATGAGACTTTTTTGCAGGGATATATCAATTTTATGCAAGTGAGTCAAAATATTGTAATGGGTTCTAGAAGTCCAGGATCTGACAGTACTGAATTTCCCAGAGCTGGTGTACAGAAACAGAGCAAAATTGTTATTAAGACCAAAGCATTTACAGAATTTTCTGTGAGTTTAGCAATCAAAGCAGTAACAAAGTTATCTAGAGTACATTCTAACCCCATTTTAGCCAACACCTGTTGAGCTGGGGCTGTTAATGATTTTATATCCCCCCAAGTTACTAGAATTCATATATCTTGGGGTCCTATTTTAATGATTCTTCTCTTTTGAGGAGAATGATTATTCTCTTGCTTGGATGAACTCTTATCTTCCAGGGTTAAATGAAACTTAGAAATCAGCGTGTGAATTCCCTGATGTACATTTATAATTGCTATTTTTCATGCATGAAGCTAGAGTCCAAACAGGATATGTTGGCATAAGTGTAGCAGTCTATGCTTTTTCCCACGTGATCAAAGGCATAGGATCTTGTCATGCTGGTTAGGTGAAACCTCAGATATTACATATTTTTTGGTAATGGCTGTAAATAAAACAATATTTAATGCATATTAACATATGAGAGGCTAGATCTTTGTTTCTGTTTTTAAAGGAATGTATTAGGATACAATTTGCTCACTCAACAAAAGCTTATCCAAAAGAATTATGAGGAATTTCATGATTTAAAACTATATCTCATTGATTAAAAATTGTACAAAAGGATGAGACATAAAGGCAGGAGCATTATCCATCTTTAAACAAATAGGGCCTCTAGGAGCAGATCATGCTTGGTTTTTTCCATGATCTCTGCTGGAACTGACTTGACATTTTCTTTTCATAGATTCAATTCTGTTAGTAAATATTTTTCTGTTGTTTTGTGTTTTGCAATAATGCATTAGTAATCATAAATATTTTGAAGTGAATAAATTATTATACTTCTACTTTGTAATTTTTTAATATTTTTTAAAATTTTGATTAGTGATTTAATTTCTTGATCATTGTTTTTTTATTGTGGTATGCTTGGATTATATTCACATTTCTTATATGTATAGGAAATGTGAAAATATATATGGAATCTTTGACTATAATATCAACCATACACAAAACACAGTGTGTGTGTGTGTGTGTGTGTGTGTGTGTGTGTGTGTGT